TTTTCAAACGCCTGAACCAACACGCTTGTCCCACACGACTAGTGTACTTGGCGAGTATTAATGCCATTTTTGATAGATAATAACTGATGTGAAATCACGTTATGCTTTAAGACTATATAAGGCTATATTGAAGATACTCCAATAACGGGTGATCATTGATATCAATAATATTGAACGTGTAACGTGTTGGACAGCTTAAGACACCCTGTACACCCAAAACTGTACCTAAAAGTTGGTTTTAATTGTTTACTATTTTGTGCGCAAATGATAAAAATATTACTCCTTTATCATATCGATAACGATTTACTTTGTACTATGGCTAAATTATTCATAGACCTTATACTCGTAGTCTATGAAATTATTAGATATCGTTTTTAAAATATGAAATAACTGATGATAGAAATAATATTAAATATTAATATTATACATGTGCAGTATAGAATAATAAATTTATAGATTTATAATTTGTTAATGTAAAATGTCAATATGTTTCACGGTATCAAGATGATAAATAAAAATCTCGGGGCCCTTTAACAAGCGTACCATTTGTCCTCCCCTAGCGCCGGCACTAACAGATTATAATATGAATTAAAACTATTATAATGTATAAATAAATTATTATGCTTTGGCTGCCACCATATTGAATTATCCCCAAAAAATCACTATACCTACCTACTCTAACGATAGACAATTAACATAATATCACAATAATATTACCATTGATATTTGATTGTAAATATTTCGGATTACTCACTGGCCGGTTTTTCAGTGTCACGAAATATTTACTCCCGGTAGATGGCGAAGTGATGCGACTACTAGAGATTACAACATTACCTGACATTACTAAACCGAGCGGCCGTCTTATTGGGTGCGGGCTTGTGATTAGTAAGGTCGGGTAACGTTGTAATCGCTAGTAGTCACGTCACCTCGCTATCTACCGGGAGTAAATATTTCATATTTTCATGACACCAGACATCGAGAAACCTGGCAGTGAGCAATCTATAGTATTTATAATCAATGATATTAACAACTAACAAGTTAACGTATATTAGCAATTTAATCACAAGGTCACCTTTATACTTTATTAATGTCGTCTGTATGAACATTAATTGTTAAAAAATAGAATTAAAAATAGTGGGTAAATGGATGTCGTTCTGCTGTACAGTATGTTACAAGTGGCAAGTTGGTCAATGTATAATGGATTGTATTTAACTTGAATTCAATGATGTAATATCATTGTATAAGAATAACGATTTTGAGCTAAGACTGTTTGTCAGTCTAGATATTTTTTTATTGTTATTATTTATTATAACCTATAAGTTGAATTAATATTAAAATATTAATTTTATTCTTTTCTATGGTGATACACAAAGCGTTAGATATTAAAATCACATTTTTAGCTGTTTTTTCGTAATTTGTCGGTGGTTTTTCCCGTGGCATTAAATAACTATTGAGAAAGATGACCTCCCTAAAGTACCATTTTGATCCAATTTGCTAAAAGATAAAGTACTATATTATGTTGAAATCGAAGCACTCTTTCTGGTAGAAATTTTGTAGACAGGATAAAAATAAAAAATAAACACCATTATAAAAACACAAGCTTCCTCGCTCCGCTCAGAATCTAAAATATATATTTTTGATCAAATATGTTAGTGTTGAAGCAGAAGCTGTCATTAACAAAACTATTTTAATAGGTACAATAATAAATTACTGTTGAAGTACACAGATGACAGAAGTTAAAGGTAAATAATAATAAGATCGGATATATATAATAATATAATAATAAATATAATGATAAGTGAGATAGTGTTACGAGGCTTAATATAAATCAACGACTAACTGTGTATACCCGGCTACACTACACAAGACATACGAGGTGTGTTCAAAAAGTACCCGGAATTTTTTATTTTAATGGGTCTGGAGAGTCCGATTGTCAAAATTTTTTTTTTATTGTGTTGGTATACATGCCCCTAAAGTATGATAACATTTTCAGCTATAATCACTGTTGACTTTGTCTGTGGTAGTCGCTAAGGTACGACGTGTGTTTATGAGCTCGGCGATTTTTGCTTGTTTAAACAATGGAAGAATTGAAGAGTCAAAGAATTTGCATTAAATTTTGCGTAAAAAATGAAATAAAATGTAACAAAGTATGTGAAATGTTACAAAAAGCCTATGGTGAGTCTGCTATGAAAAAAACAAGTGTTTACGAGTGGTATAAGCGTTTCCAAGATGGCCGCGAAAAAAGCACGTCAAGTTCGATCAAATGTCAAGGTTATGCTTACGGTTTTCTTCGATTTTAATGGCATAGTACATCAAGAGTTCTTACCACAAGGTCGTACGGTTAATAAGGAGTATTACCTTGAAGTTATGCGACGTTTGCGTGAAGCAATCCGAAAAAAACACCCCGATTTATGGAAAAACAATTCATGGCTTTTGCACCACGATAACGCACCTGCTCATTCGTCGTTGCTTGTTCGTAATTTTTTGGCCAAAAACAATACCGTAGTCATGCCCCAACCTCCATATTCACCAGATATGGCTCCGTGTGATTTTTTCCTGTTCCCAAAGTTGAAAAGACCCATGAAAGGACGGCGTTTTTCCTCGATTGAAGAAATAAAAGCCGAATCGCTGAGAGTGCTCAAGGACATGCCAAAAAGTGAATATCAAGAGTGCTTCGAAGATTGGAAAAAACGCTGGCATAAGTGTATTATATCTGGGGGGGACTATTTGGAAGGGGACCACATTGATGTAGACGAATAAATAAATATTTTTTTGAAAAAACGGAAATTCCTGGTACTTTTTGAACACACCTCGTATATGCTGTAGTATTATAAAAATGTATAGTCAGCGTCTGCTGAACTACAGTGTGGATATATTACTTATACACTACATAAGGTGTTTTGTTTATAATTCTAACAATTACTTAACAATACAATTGACGACAATTAATAATAAAACAAGTAATTATTTAATTCAATATGCGGCAATTCTATAATATATAAATATATAATCTAATGCTCCAGTATAGGTATTACATAATATTATGAAGTATGACATACATACCTACCTATTATGTTTTATTTGAATGAATAATTTATTGTAAAAAATGTTAAAAATTATTTCACATATTAGTTATGTGAAAATCTCCAAATATTTTTTTCAACTATAATTGGAATAAACTATTATAATAACATTAATCATTACCATAGTTTATTCATCTTATAGTTTTAAGTTATATTTATTATACAAACTAAGAATCCATTGCATATGGTACTTAACTTCTGAAAAAACTGAGATTGAATTATTTGTGTATGGATCCTTGACACTCACTACTCCAGTCAAATAATAAGAACCAGAGTGCAAAAAGCATAGGCCAGCACCGCTATCACCAATAAGCACTCCTTGTCCTAAAATTAAAAATATTTTATACATAATACATAAATTAATCATACGACGTTTATTGGGTAGTGGGTATACAATATAGATTTACCATATTAATTATAAATGATATTGTACAAGAATTATATTTCAAGGATATATGATATACCTATCACCTATGACCTATCTATAACATGTGACAGATGTGGTTTTAAACTATCATATTTAGTGGAGTCTTCTACACACATCCACACTGACCACACTCAATCAGTGGATTTCCGATTTTTCAATAGAAGAATCAGTTAGCTGATAACTCAATGATTGTCAAATGGTGCCATAACTCCAAATTAAAATTATTATAAAGTGTGATTATTAAATCTTCAATGAATCACTCAATAAACTACCTACTTCCAAAAACATGTTCACTAAAATCACATCAGTCATTTGGTAATGTCGTTTACTATAGGCGGCTATTAATATAATCTATAATATAATAAATACATAGCATACGGCACAATATTATAATAATGCACTTATAATATAGGTAGTTTATTGTAGCAACTAACGTAACTTACTAACATTGAGTAATCTATTATCTATACTAGGAGGCGTAGACCGTTTGGGTGAATCGACCCAAATTATAGTCCGTTTGGGCGAATAAATATATACCATTTGGGCGAGGGTTTATTCAACTAAAACTACTGTTCGGAGCTTTGTGCAAATAAGGTTTAAATAGGTTTATAAGTTAATTAATTATATATTGTATAGTAATGTACATAATTATAGTTATAGTAATGTATATATTGGTATAGACACAAGGCATAATATAACCTTAACTATCGCTAAATATGCGTTAAAAATATGCAATAAAAACAACAAAATATGAAAAAAAAAAGGAAATTTATTAATTAATCACTTACAAATTTGAAATTATTATACGTAGTTACTTAAGTAAAATATCGCTGAATATGCGCTAAAAATATGCAAAAATATGCAAACTGTGTCCCTGCCTTTACCAAGTCCTGACAAACTTTTTATACCAAAAACGTGCCTTATTCTTTTTGTATATATTTTGTACCCTACAGATAATTTAGACTGAATGTTTTCCATTCATGTTTTATTCACATAAATCAACATTAAAAGAGTTTTTTTGGAACTCAATGTAGGCTATAAAAGATTGGAGAAGAAATCGAAAAGACATAGAATTATACATAGTGACAATAGATGGTGAAAACGCTCTTGAAAAACGCAATTGAAAAAGCCTAAAATTGAACTGCTTGACAATGCATTGTGGATATGGTTTTGCCAAGAAAGAAGGAAATAAGGAAATCCGATATATGGGCTCATAATAAAAGAAAAGGCAATATCTTTGCACAAAAAACTAGAAGTGAGTTCATCTCTAGTGAACGCTGGATTGATCGCTGGAAAACCGGTCCGGCGGTCCGGTTTGTTTGAATTTCTGGAGAAAATCTATCTGCTGATGCTGAGGCGGCCAAGAAGTTTTCTGTGAAGTTTCGAGAAATTGTCGAACAATATGAACTGTTACCTTACAAAGTCTATAACATTGACGAGACAGGCTTAAACTATAAAATGCTTAAAAAAAAAAACACTCGCTTCATCAAATGATACCGTGGCAGGAACGAAACTTAGAAGATAGGCTAACCATTGCACCTTGCAGCAACGCTGATGGGACACACAAGCTTCCCCTGTTTGTTATTGGTAAATCTAAGAAGCCTAGGGAATTCAAAAACATAAATTTATCTTCCTTGCCTGTTTATTATCACAATCAAAAATCTGCTTGGATGGATTGCAATCTTTTCAAATCTTGGTTTATCGACGAGTTTGTTCCATCTGTTAAAAAGGACTTGAATCAAAAAAAGCTTAATGTTCGTGCTGTATTGCTGTTCGATAAGGCACCATCACATCCATCTGAGGAGGAATTAGTGAAAGGGGACATAAAAGCTATCTTGTTACCACCAAATGTCACATCACTTATCCAACCAATGGATCAGCGAGTTATAGAATGGTTAAAGAGGCGGTATAGCAGAAAGTACATCAATTCAATTTTAGAAAAGTCCGAAGAAGGTTTTAATATATTTGAATCAATGAAATCAAGTAAATAGTTTTACTCGCCCAAACAGTACAAATGATACTCACCGAAACGGACAATTAATTTTTCGATCAAAATTATTACTTTCGCCCAAACGACTACTGCTCGTTCTAGGTTAATCACTAGAACCACCTAACCGATTTTAATAATATTATTGCCATCAGAAAGCTACATATATATCAAGGATATTTAAAAATTTGAACTTAGGCATTTAACGCTTACCTACTTACCTCGCGGGGTCCGCAGTCCACCGCAAGTGGATAACCACCTGGTAATATACTGCTCGAATAATCACAAGCTAGTCTCACGGCAACGCCTCGTGGGGTGGCTATATCTAATACCTATACTATTATAATTGAACGTGTCCTGACTCACTGACTGATCAATGTAGAGCCTACACAATGATATCATAAGTATCTCCATATTATGTAAGTTTGCACTAAGAAAACATTTTCCAAAATCTTCATTATAAAGTGGCGCTTTCACAGTTGCACAAGTATTTTTGATATTCAAGATGTCCGATGAACATGTTTAAGTTTTTAACACCATTATACCAAATATTACATAAATAAAGAATTTAACAAAGTTCAATATAGAGTTGGCATTTTCAAAGAGTAACTATAAGTGCATGGGGTCAGGTATAGTATAAATTATAGAATAATTCCTTAGTATTTTCAAATTGAAAACACAGGATGATTCCATAGACCATAATGTAGTACCAACAGTAAGCTAAAAGTCGGCCTTATATTCATGTGACCTATTGACTCTGTTATTGTAACACATATGGAGTGATTTAACAAATCGTCGATCGATAACTAATACGTCGTATATGGAAAAAGTAAAATGTTCAGGAGAAACAAAAATGTGAACACTGATAACATGTAACTAAGTTACCTCAAAACCATGACGAGATAATAATATAATATAGGTATCATACTATCATCACAGTTGTAATAGTTTTTTTTTTCAGTATGCGCATTTCCTTCACTTCTGGCCAATGTCGTAGTTCCCCCTTGTGATTTTTCTATTTTTGTCTACCTTATAATATATATTATATATGTATATATGATGTATATGATTGACAGCCAAAAATAAGGAGGACTACGATATACAGGAAGTAAAGACCAGAGGGTGGGTATCAAATAACTCTGATGATATCAATCTATTTTGTCTTGCTCAAAATTACAATTTGGTCTCCATTCTCCTTGGAGATTGTTTTTATTATAATTAATGTGATTGTTAAAACATGTGTTATTTTTTCACTCTTTTTAATGTACGATTTGAAAAATCTGTTTTTCTTCAGAAACGATAAGTATTAGGTCGCTCAATGAACAAATTGCGAAAAAACAACGATGTTGTCATTATTGCTCAATGTGATGACACTTTTTATGGAATATTAAATTATATTTAAAATAAATATTTTGATAAACAGTACGGTGACTATTCACGGTCATTAGGGGGTTATTTGTTTTAGTTTAATAGAAGTCTTTCCAATTGTGTTAATGTTTTAATTTAATCTTTAGAAATTTGAACATCAAAGATTATATTGTCTTAGGTTATTGGTTAATACTATTATATGATTCGATGCAAAAGTGTATAAAGCACACTAAATTTTGCTAGGATATACATATACTGGGTGATTCTTTGTAAAGTGTAAATTTTTGAAATAATGAGTGTTGTTTGATAAAAGAATCACCCAGTATATATACACATTATATATTTATATGAGTCGATGATGTCTTACAAGCAATGGCAGATTACCTTTTAGATAATATGGACAGTTAACTTGTATAGTACGAAGTCAATGTGTTATATAAAACTATAATGCCGTGTGTCAATTAAAACAATCAACAGGTACGACGAAGCGTGGTGCCCAACGTACGCTCGCTATTAATATGTAAATAGCTTGTTTGATACATTATTTGTATAAATATATTTTGAATTCTTATCAGTGGTGCAAATAGTGGGGAGGGGGAATCACTCAAAGCACCCTCAAGAAATAATAAGATAGTACAATATAATGATTTAACAATATTGAATGTTTAAATATTTTATTACCCAATTCAGAACCGGCACAGAACTTGTCAACAGTCACATAATTTTCAAATCCGTTTTTATACGATTTTCGACAAGAACTATAGTCGATGTATGGTAAAGATGCTTCTAACAAATTAGGACTTGAGCTGGCATTTTCTGTTGCTCCCCAGCCAAAAATCTGTAAAATATCAGCTGTAGGTACAATGTGTGGTAATTAAATTAACGTATAATTAAAATTTAAAATCACTTTTTATGGAAGTGTTTAGAATGTGTATAATTATTAATTAGTTAAATACATTTTGACTGATCGAAATTTTTTAATTTTGGAATTTGGTTAAATATGATATACTTACCTAATAGAATATTGTTTAGTAGTTTTATAATTTATATTTCAAGATTTTATTTTAGATCCTGATCGGAGAGATGAATGTATTTATTTTACTATGATGTGTGTTTTATGTAAGCGAGTAATTTAGAGATATAATAGTACTTATATATAATAATTGCTTAGTTACCTCGGTATTTTCATAACTTTTATCGGTCTACTATTCAATCCATTTTTATTGATTTAATTAAAATACTTAATATTATGTATACTTTGATATTTTGATTCCTTTTGCGGTATTTATAAGCATAAGATAACTTAGATTTTTTTAATTTTTCGATAAATGTCTTAAAAAAAGTTTACTGGAAATTCAAAATAATTTTTTATGAACGTTTAAAGCTTATATTTATTTTTCATTGTATTTTCACTGTAAGTCAAAGAATTCTCATCCAACGATTATATTATTTTCTTTTAATTCAAAAATGGATAATCACGAATACTTGAAAATTATTTTATAATTTTCTTTTTATAAAATATGATGAATACATTTTCAAAATTCCCGTTTTAAACTGTTATAATATTAATTTTTAATTTTTAATTTTAAATTTTTTTTTCTTGTTTTAATATTTTTTTTTTCAAAATGCTTAAGCCTGCAATAGAAGGTAACATATAAATTGTTATTATTACACTTAAAAATAAAGATACAAACGCTTGATTTTGTTTTATAAGCATTTAATGAGCATTTGTGAAAATCCCAAAAATGTTCATATTATTTTTTAGTTAGAAATTTATAATTAAAAACTGTCAATTTAAAACAAGTTATATCATATGAAGTTCACATCACCGTCACCAAAATATTTAAAATATTTATAAATACACAGCTTTTTTCGATAGTTTTTTAGATCAAATTTGGACGAAATTAGATATTTTGTTGTATTTTAAATATCAATTTATAATTATTTAGAATACCGCCTACGCTCAGAGTTATTTTTCTTATAGTTACAATATGATATTATTTAATATTATAATTTATTTTTGCAAACTTCAGCATATAGTCTCACATTATTTGCTCTTAACATATACAAACGGTCAATGATCGTTAGTGATAGGTTGGTACATAATTTCACTGTAATTTATTCAAAATTTTATAATTTAAATATTAATACAAACTAACCTTTCCTTGATCTCCATTGGCTTCATTGTATTTCCCATTCCAATCAATACAAACAGGCGCAACACCATTATTAAAATATACTCTGTTTTGTAACACCACAATAGCTATATCGTCAGTAAAAAACCATCGATATCCATGATAACCTTCTTTCACGTAAACAGTTACCACCTATACAAATTATTTTAATTTATATTATACAGAGTCAGACTATATGACTATATTATTAGACTCTAGTCTCTAACTGATAGATCTGACATAAAAAAATTCTAAAATATAAACAATTAAATTGAAATAGATAAATATTTTTACCATACAATTATTCTTAAATCAGGATTAAAAATTAGTTATTATTAAATATTATTTTCAGTTTCAAGAAGTAAAAATGAAAAATTCTGGTAAGTAGGTGTCGCTCTTACTGTACAGTAGGTAATAAGTAGTTCACTGTAATTGCTAGTGTTAAATTTTAATTCAAAGATGCAAAATAATTGTATACGAAAAACGACTGAGAGAAGGTCTGACTGTTGGTCTGCTTATGATATAACTAAGCTATTAATTATTAGTATAACTACTATTGTATGAATATGTATTATTGATTAAAGTAAACTATTTAACTTTAGTAAAATTAATAATAAATTATACTTTAGTACAACATTAGTACAACATTAGGTTATTAAATTCATATTTTCCAAAAAAAATTACATTTGAAAACTTCATTGTGTGTATAAAATATAATAACATAGCCAATATAGGTACCTACTCTAAAAGCTTAAAAATTATTTTTTAGCTAAACATTTCTGAAATGATCAACTTTTATAGCTAAGGATTGAAAATTTAAGGTTCGACGTAAATTGTAAATATATTTATTATAGACTATAATATTATATAAATTATTATACTACTTTATAGTAATATCATAGGTCTTCGCTCAGAATCGTTTTTCTTATACAATGATAATAGTAATATAGTATATTGTTTCAAAGGCAGATGAAAAATATTAAAGATCCTTATTCCTTAGTGACTGTTTTTTTTTATAAGCATTTAAAGTTCAAAAATTGACAAAATATGGAAAAATCAAGAAAATTAGAAAATTTATTTTGAGTTAATTTTAAAGTGTAATACAAAATTCCTTATAAGATTATCTACTTTTATCAAAAAAAAGTCCATAAGAAAGTCAAATTAAATTTTTATGTGCCTTTGAAATTCAAATTTGTACAACATTGGATATTCAATCGATTTCATTATTTTGTTGTAATTCAAAAACCAATAACTGTAGATACATGAAAATTTCACTGAATGTTTGTATTAGCATTTCCGATACACCATACATTTTTGAAAATATTTTGACTCTTTTTGAGCTGTTTACGGACATGTTCAGTTTTCAATTTTTTTAGTTTTTTTTTTCTATAAATATCAATAAACCTTTATTTGTCAGGCCAAAAGGTGTAAAAATTTAATACAAGACTCCTGATATATTATTACAATATAAGTTGAAAAATATTTAAAATACATATTCACAATTTTCTTTTATAAGCATTTAAAGTTCGAATTTTGACAAAATTTATCATATTTAAAATTTAATAATTATAATGTATAGGTAGTTAAAAATTTATAAAATGTTCAGCTTTTATATCTAAAGATTAAAAATTAAAAACAATATTCCACATATAATATATTTCGTGGGTACTTGAAACTTCTAAAGTACACTATTATATATCTATGATAGTATCAGGGTTTGTTGTTGATGTATAACGCGTTATAAGTACCTAATGGATATTGTAATATGATTAATTTGGAATTTATTATAGGTCAATTTGTTTTAATACCATAGATAAGTATATAATATGTCTTAAGCCTAGACTGACATACCGTCTCCGCTCAGAATCGTTTTTCTTACACAATGATATTGTATCATTGAATTTAAATTTAATACCATCCATTATACAGTGACCCACTTGTAACCTACTGTACATCAGATCACCGTTTTTAATTCTTTTTTTTTAAAAAATATTGACAATTTCATATATATATTTTAATGTTTAACTGTGAATTTAACATCAAAGTCTTCAGGGTAAGTCCTGACAATCATTTCCTTGTAGATTCCTCAAAAACGATTTTAATGAACTTTCTAAATTAATCATGGTGAAAAACTGAAAACAGTGTAGATATAGATGAAATGCTTTACCTAATTCAATCTAAAATTTCACTATGGGCTCGTTCCTAGGGGGATTCCCCACTATATACGCCACTGCCCATTTGCCCTCCTTCTTTTTTGTTTATGAAAATTTACAATCTATAATAATTAATTATAAATTATAATATATAACAAGTAATAGCAATTACTGTATAGTGTATATAAGCATATACGTAGCATTAAATAAGACACAAAAAGCACATGATGACGGAAGTCATCCAGAGATGGAACCCACCAAAATAATTTATTTATTTAATCAAAAAAAAAAAACATTTTAAAATATTAATTATAACAAAAGTTATTGCATAAGTCAGTTTTTTCTGATGCAACCATTGCAACCTGTATATTAGGTCATACCAAAATGATTTGTGGATTTTGAATTATTAATAACTTACATTTATTATTTTAGTAAATTCGTTGTCAATAATTGTAATGTTTCTATCATATTTTCCAACAGCAATTTTGTATCCACCGTCGTTTATTGATATTATATTCTCAGATGACAAAATAGCTTCAAAACAATGAGCCGCTAAAATTTATATTTATTTAATTTTTTTTTTCTTTCTTAAATTCGTTATTGCTAAGATTTTACCAGAAACAACTAAATTTGGAGAAATAATTGAACCACCACATTTCAAGTCATAATCGAATTTTTTTTTATTAAATCGATATAATCCGACATTCCATGGTGCTGTCCCAACAATGGCTTTTTCACCATTGTTGATCAATACCATGCTTTTGATATTATATACTCTACCGCAATCTAAAACAATATTTGAATATAAATATATTATATGAACACAATTAATAAGTAATAATACCTATTTATAGAATAGACATATTATTTTTGATGGTTCAAGAATTTAGGTATACGTGAGACTATTATGTCCTACCTAACCTAACAATATTTTAACATTTATAATGCAAAAAAAGCAATTTGTTTCAGACTTTCAGTAAAAGTTAAGTAAATTAGTAATATCTATACTAATATATAAAATGATAGCGTTTGTTTGTATGTTCGGGGTAAACTCCGAAACTACTTATTGGATCGTCTTGCAGTTTTCTTTTTAAATTGAAGAGGACATCACAGTGACGGTTATAGGCATAAATTTAGTCCGATAAAGTTAATAAATAATTAGTTATTATTAATTAAAATAAATGTATACATTTTATACCTAAATATATTATTATTTATTTTATTATTATATTATTATTTTATACATACTGTGTGGCACGACGGCCCGCGGGTTTCCAGCTACTTGTAACCTGACCTTTTTTCTTTTGTGTGTGTTTTATAGGCGAGTAGATATGAATAATTGTTCCGAGAAGTAAAATTCAACAATCTATCTATATTAATATATTATACTATATAATATATTATATATCTATTTCCATATTTACATATTAATTATTAATCCACCGTGGCTGGAATTAAGTAAAAACGACAAACTTCGTATAACTTTGATACTCTAGAGCTAAATCATACACTTAGGTACAAAAAGCACGGGGGTCCTCGATCTAACGCAGGTAGATTGCCTACCTGCTAATATACTGCTGAGAACCAGAATTTTTATTCTGGGTAACGAAAAAGTTAAGATAAGTTTTGAACGCCATACACCGAATATTAAATAACGAATTGAATAAAGTTTGAGTCATATAGAGTTGGTACATTTAACGGGCACGGGATTAGCTATTTTTAATAAAAATATATTTATCATTATAATACCGTTAGAAACATTTCAATACGTTTTCATTAACCGTTTTGTATATTTACTTGCCGATCAAATTAAACGATGAAATTTGAATAAAAAATTATTCATATCATCGTCCGAAGGCAAAATAAACAACCAATCACGAGCAAAGCTGTGAAGGGTCGGCTAGTCTATATATATATTATATACATATTATATATTATGTATTGGACACTTATGTTTATATGACAAAAAATACAATTACCTGGTTTGCATGTATATAGTGGCTTATTCCATATTCCATTGGACTGACAATGTAATTCTAGTGGCGTATCTTCTTGACAATTTGGTGCACTAAATGTTGGCTTACATGATAATGTTGCTATTGTATCGGGTATCGATAAATTTGAACAATTACTATACTTACCATTATAGCTACATTTAATATCTAAACTATCTGATTCTAGAGGTGGACACATTTCTATAAATGTAAATAAAATTATAATCAATCATAACCAACAATTATACTTAAAATATTTAAATAAGAAATTATTACAAAACTTACTGAAACACAATTTCTCAGAATTCGATAACCACTTTCCTTTTTCCCGACAATACCTTAAAGGACTTGGATAAGCCCTGTGATATCCAACTTCACAATTCTCAATAACATGAAGATTATGATCAATTAATGTCCCGTGAGGTAATGTTTCATTTGAGTCTACATAAGAATATACAACTCCTTCAACAGTTGGTAATACGCATGATTTCACTGTGAGCTATCAAAATGTTATATGTTAAAATTATATATTCTTTCTAAAATACCTATGTTAGTTTTAAGCAGAAGCTGAAATTGAAAATACCAAGCTAATACAATAAATTTAAAATTTAAATCGATACCTATGAAGAAATATATTTACGTACATGTTTGTTTAAAATTCCACGAATCCAGTCAACATGGTATTTTATGTCTGTATAACCTACGATCATAGTAGAGTTTGTCAAATCATCCGACAGAATATCTACCCCGGTTAAAAAATAAGAACTAGAGTGTAAAAACATTATTCCTGTTCCATAAATTCTCCTAACAGTTTTGTGAAATTTCGATTCATCTGAAAGAAGAGATATTGGATACATAGAGTATAAGACAACAATTAATGATCTTACCATTGTTGAATAGTGAGTGGATAGTTGAAAATTCTTTAAATTGTCCTATAAAAATTGGAATGTAAAATATTTTTATTTTTTATTTATAAATTAAAACTAATCAGCTATTCAAAAATAGTGTGTAAGAAATGAGTAATAATAGAACGAAAAATGTAACAGTAAAGAGGGCATTAACTTGTTAAAAAGTTAAAGTTAAGTTAAAATGTTATTTTTTTGTTGAGGCGTTTTTATAATGGCTCAAGACCAAGTAACTCAATATTAGACCTGTGATCTTGAAGTGAATGGGCTATATTTAGGCTGTATAACCTGTAAAAATGATTAAACAGTTCTAGACTTTTTCTAAAATCAATATGTGACGTGGGGGGCTACAACTCACACAATTAAAAAGCTGTCTGTTTTGTGGAGAGTAGTTAATGGCATATTATGCTTTTTTTTTTACTAAAACTGCCATAATATTATTATTCACTTCTATTTACTACAATATTAATAATAACAAATTATTTTTGATCAAACCAAATAAGAAGCAAATTTATTAAATTATATATAACGAACTTCTTCACAATACGAATTTTTTTTTGTTACCCAATTATCACTTTGTAAAATGGAAGTTTCACATTATTTATTTTAAACTCAAGGTAAAATTCCTTTTTTTTTTTTTTTATTAATTTTTGATTATGGGCAGAACAATGAATGCACCGATCTTATAATTATTTGTGTTTTTTATTTTAGACTCTGTGTGAAAAGATGAATGTATTGATTTTACAATGATGTGTGTTTTTGTTTATTTTTTGTTTATATTTTTTTTATTTTTTTATTTTTTTCATCATGGCTTAGGGCAGTAAAACTGCTTTGATTTTCTTCATCAGTATCTTGTTAGATAGGAAAAAGAATCTAGTTGGTGCATTGGGGAGGTCAAATTTTAAATTTTCTAATAGTTCAAAAAAGTGACTGGAAAAACAACATAAAAATTAAGGGAAAACGGGAACTTTTACGCAAAATCGGTTTTCCGAAAAATTGATTTTGGTTTTTGGTGTAACTCTAAAACAAACGAACGTATAAATATGCAATTTTCACTGGTTGTTTATATTTGTATTTTCTATACACGATAATATTTTCAAAATATTTTGATTTACTTTGAACTGTTTAGGGACATTTTCATTTTCCATTTTTTTTTAGTTTTTTTTTTCTAAAAATATCAATAAAATTTTATTTTTTGGTTGCGAAAGCTTGATAATTTAATAGAAGGCTCCTTGTATATTGTTTCAAAGGCAGATGAAAAATATTAAAAATCCTTAGTCACATTTTTTTTTTATTATCATTTAAAGTTCAATAATTGACAAAATATGGAAAAATCACGAAATTTAGCATGTTCAACTTTTATATCTCAGGATTGAAAATTTTAAACAAGGGTCCACGTAAATAGGTAAATATATAAATTATTTTATTCACAATTATATCATTAAATATACTTAGTAATGTCATAGGCTGGCTGACCGTTTTCGCTCAGAACCGTTTTTCTTATACAATGATACTTCATCATTGAATTCAAATTTAATACCATCCATAATACAGTGACCCATTTGTAACCGACTGTACAGCAGAGAAACTTTTTTTTTTTAAACTTTTTAGATAAGCACTAGAATATTTTACTTTTGAACCCCATTGTACCAACTTAATCCAATCTTCTAAATACCTCCTTCAAAGTTAAAAATTGAAGCATTTGTACTGCTCAAAAATGTGTTGAGAGACACAAAAAAAACATAAATCACTGTAAATTTAATACTTTCATGGTAGCTCCAAGAATTTAAATTTTTATTACCCAAGTCAACAGTAGCACAAAACTTATCAAAGTTCATATATTTTAAAAAAACTGGAAAAGAACTATCATTTGATAGATGCATTCTTCGACAAGTTTTATAGTTGATGTATGAAGAATTTTTTTCCAAAAATATAAGCCCGTAGTCATCTTCTAACGGCGATTTTGAAAAAAAAACCTGTAAAAGTATGAAATAGTATAAGTTTTTAATAATATATAGTATATATATACTATAATATAACTAAGTAGAGGCATTTACAGTACTTAGTATTATTTCTACTATAGTTTTAAATCAGAATTTTTTTTTTTATCTTTCATGAAAATGAAATATTTCAAAAAATTAATTTCATAACCCAAAGGCTATAAATAGGTATAATATATTAAAAAACTAATTTACCTTTCCTTGATCTCCGTTGACTAAATTGTATTTTTTATTCCAATCAATACAAACAGGTGCTGCGAGACCATTTATAAATGGAACTTTATTTGCTAACACAATAACTGCTATATCTTGATTATAGCTCCCATCATAACCTTCACCGAGGTAAATCATTTCTACCTACACAATTATTTTATATTATGCATATAAATACATCATAAGAATTATTTATAGACTTTAAATTATTAATAATAACTGACACTGAATATTTGATTAAAGTCATTGTTTGAAATTGCTGCCACAGTGCCACGTGGGCCTACGTCGTTCAAAAACTGGTCCGCATGATAGCGTATAGGACAACGACAACGAATATTCTAGACTTAGATAATACATACTGGATAGAGCTATGTGTATATCACGCGTAGTCCACGCTTGAAGCCCATTTGGTCAGGCCATTCGGTCCCGATGAATTTATTGCGCATGCGTTAGGAATGGAAAGATAGAGCGGGATGGGATAACGTAATTGCGGTAATGTCTTGAGCATGCTGCCATGCTCAGTGGTGACATCGGGGCCGAACGGGTCGACCAAATCGGCTTCAAGATTTTAAATCATAGCCCTATCCATTATTTATTATCTAAGGTTATGCTCATCTCGTAGAGACGTCTGCATATCTATCCTTATTAGTATATCTATCAATAAAATGTTTTCTTTCATAGCAGTAAAATTTGTTGTTATTATATTCATTAACATAACCCAAATTCGTGAACCCCATTTTTATTAATTTTAACTGCCTGGCCAAATGCAAGTCAATAGACGGTGCAATAGTCGTTGCCATTTATAGTGAGTTTATTATTAAATAAAAAAAAATTGACAATAAACTCTGTCCAACGAGAGAGTGCAACCCGGGCCTCGACCAAAACTCGTCTATTGCTGCGCATTCCCACCACAAACGAATTAAGATATAGGTACTAAACGGAACGGGCGCTTATCAGTTGATGTCAAACCTTCTTTAGAGTATGACATAGCACACAGCGATTTATAAGATTATTCTGTTAACTGGGGGAATAATGAACTATTAGTTCCTTATTCTCCCGTGGGTTAACACAGAACAATCCTTTAAAGCGCTAGTGGTCTAGCCGTAACGTAAGACTTTATTGCCACGAAATATGAGTTGATAAGGCACTGAGTTCCGTATCCAGTATATCTTAATTCACGCCATCACTTAACCAGCATGAGCGCCGCCTGTCGAATGCCACCAGAGCTGCTAGACTGTGCAGCGGTACCGTTGTATATACGTTCAGGTACCCCGTGGTGGGTGAATTTAGACCTAGAGACGTCGGAGTGTCTTCATTTGGATACGTTGCACTCACTCGTTGGACAGAATATTAGTCATTAGTACGATGTACTATTAAAAGTATGGCAAAAATTGTGGAAATTATACGGATAACAAATAACTCATATCCGGAAATTCCCAAAAATAATATCTTGATAAAAGTTATTGCGTTTTAAACTTTTTAACTACAAAAAAAATATTGATACTATAAAGTATAAATGTTTTTACAATAATAATTATTCTTTTTATCAGATTTACAAGTTGGTAACTTTGAAATTTTTTAGTTTCTGTTTCGAGAAATAAAATGAGAAACAAAGGTTTACTATAATTAATATAGAGTAGTGTTTTAAACATTATATAAAAGAAAAATATTTTTATAATATTGATTGTAACAAATGTTTATAACAATAGTCAGTCCTTTCTGGTGCAACTCGATTGCAATCTATTATGTCATACTATATTCCAATGATTTGTAGACTTTGAATTATTAATTACTTACATTCATTGTTTGAGTAAAGTCATTGTTAATTATTTTTGGTAAACGACGATCACAAAATCCAACACAAATTGTATATAGATCATAGTTCATAGATGTATTCGTTGATATCATACTACTTTTCAAAAAGAAATGAGCCACTAAAAATTATATTTATTTAATTTTCATTCTTTCTTGAATTCGTCGTACAAAGATATTACCAGAAATTACTAAATTTGGAGCAATAATTGTTCCTCCGCATACATAAAAATGTAGTCCTTCATATAATCGAAATATTTCTACATGCCAAGGTGCTTTTACCTTTGATTCCTCATTATCTTTTTTGGATATTACTTGGTTTTTGATACGTATTCTACCGCAATCTAAAAAAATATTAAAATATCTATATTTAGATTAATATGAGTAACTCTGGACAAATATACAATTTATATTAAATATAAGATAGTTATTATTTTGTACCCATGGTCATATTTGTTCCATCTTCGTATCGATCACACATATCTTTGGTCTCGTCTGAACCATCTGAACAATCCTTATAACCATCACAAACCCATGACCATTCGATACACAGTTCATTTGAACAATTAAACATATCATCAGTGTTTCTATAATTTTATTAAAATTAGCAACAAATAATTATTTAATATTAATTATACAATTATGAGCAATTAATATGAAGCTAATCAAAATTTAAAAATATCAATAATATGTGCACAAATCAATAATTTCCCGCAATAGATAGTTGTGCCTAATTCAACTACAATTACTTATATGCCACAAGTGAGAAGTATGGTTCTAATTCAATTAAAAAGTAAAAACGATTGTCTGACATATTCTAATCATGTGAACTGAATTAAAGATTATAGTCCGCGACACGAAAAATAGCCCGTGATCCCAGCAGCCAGCGCGCCATATCAAACTAAACCAGTTACAGCAGCTTCATTGAGAGCGCGCTACAACATGTATCTACAAAATATATTATGTATATTATTTAACGTTATGGTTAACCATAAGTTATTAACTTATTAACCGTGAGTGGTGACCACTGACACGAAATAGCCGCTTGGTTCATGACGGTCTCTGTCAAGTTTTGTGTCACGGACTACAGGCATAGTCACTAGTCAGTGAACAAAATATTTTTATATGAAGATAATATCCGTATTCGTGAGTTTTAAATATTTATATATTGAGACCGAATGCGCACATCGTGCGCGTGTACATTAATTGTTGGTTCTCTGCTTGTTTGCAATCTTGAATTAGTTTTAATCTACATTTTTAATTATAATATAATATTTTTTAATTTCAGCAGAACACATCATATTTTACATATGTGCTGATAAGATCCCTTATGATTCCAATATAAATCTCGAGAAAATTATACAGTCTCTTAATTTTTATTTATAAATTTCTGTGTAAACATACTTCTTGATATTTTTATTATCTCATTGTTCTCTTAGAAAAATCAAAAATTCGTAATGATTGATCGAACTCGTGAAAAGGCAACGTATAATTGTCCATGATTGAATACATCTCTACGAAGACCCAATCCTATTTTCTCAAAAGTCTGTCCCTGGCTTTTATTTATGGTCATTGCAAAAGCTAATATTACAGGAAATGTCGTCGCTTAAAAGTAAAAGGATAAATATCTTCACAGTACAACGTTATACGATGTATGAATGTAATATCTCCAGCTTTGTCAACAGTTAATATTGGACACTTAAAAAGATTATTTGCCAATTGTAATTTTTGAAGTCTCGTGCCATTGCAAAGACCTTGGGAAAAATTTAGACAGTAACATTGCAATACAATTATTCCTTAACTTCAATTCATATGGTGGAACGTTGGGTGGATTCAAATAATTCAAATATTCAGGCAATATAACATCAATTATAGTTCCATTATCGCAGTTTTCTGTACAATCCATACCAGTATACACTTTTTCTGAATCTTTATCAAGTAATACAACAACCCTGCAATTTATTTCATCAACATCAACATTTCGACCTGACAGCACAGCCGCCTTCATAAGTTCATCATATTTACGTTTAAGAGTCAAATCTTTAAATATTTGTTCGACTATATCATCCGTTCTTGAAGAAATACATTCTTTTGTAGCTAAAATATTATCATCGTTATCATTAAACGTATCATCGCAGACATCTACAAGATATTTAGCAAGTTCCTTCTCTTCTGGTAATGTTTTCATATTTTCGGTAAGCGAAAGAATCGAGAAATTTTCCCATAATGTGCTAAATTTACCAACTCGCTTAGTGTAGCATTAATCTTGACAGGTAATAATTGTCTGAAATCACCATCAATCAGTATAACTTTTCCACCTAATGGCAAATCATTATTCATGAAATATCTGAGAGTTCAATCGCCTACTTAGGCGCCATCGGACCTTCGTCCCAAATAATAAGCTAATATTATAATTTCTGTAGATGAATTTTGATATGTGACGTGGAGTCCGAAGCGGAACAGGCAATCTAAACACATTATGTACAGTTCTTCCATTAGTAAGTGATATTACTGACACACCTGTAAATTACATAATACAAACTTTTTTACCTTGTGAGTATTGATAATTTTGTGGACTACCAAAAACCACCCACAACCGAAGGGGAACACTTCGATCGTGACCTGTGAGCAGCACCGCGTGAGACCCGAGGGTCAAGTCGGTGGAGCTCACAGGCTTTGTACACTAATGGGGTAATGAAACCCTCAAGATTTATGTTGGGGAAAAAAGAAATGACTAATAATAAATTAAGATTAGAATAATTAGGTTGATGTATTTTACATGGACATACAAATAATTAATTAATAACATTGTCATTTTTTAGATGATATAGTAAACAGTATAGGGGGACGTATGGGCAAAACGCACAAAACATATATGGTGGTGGCAAATATAATAAAATGCAGGAAAGAGAGAGAAAAAAAACATAATTAGAATATTATAATATTAATAATTTACACATTGTTTGGGGTCAATGTCACCTTGCCGGTCAGCGCCAGAGCAAGGCGGTCGGCGACCGGCCTGTGCCGTCTAAGCACGTTTTTTTTAAAGGGGTGTCTATTAAGTTCAATTTCTACTAACGGGGGGAATAAAGGGGAGTATTGATACTTTACGACGTGGATAGATCTTGTGGTACTCCGCAGATATGGGTGGGCTGGCTTGACCCCACCGACGCACACGTGGTCGGCATGGCCCACCTGGTCGTTGGAGAACAATTGTACGTAGTTGAGCCGTGGTAATGCTGTCTTGGGTGTTGAGGCCCCCACAGCCTGTTGGTGAAACGTTAGCCCATCATCGTATGGTTACACACCAAGGTAAAAAACGAAGTTGAAAATGTCACGTTCAAATGGTTTTTCGACGGAGCGCAGGACACAGTTGAGCTAGGACGTGAAGACAAACGTACGTCGTGTTGCTTCAGAGGTCGGTAAAAAGGCAAGTGGCCACAGGTGAAACGCAGTGTTCCGTGGGCCGCAACGCGTCGATGTTGTTTGAAAATGTGGGGCAGAGCAGTGTAGGTTGTTGGGGGGGGAATATACAATAATTTGAGGGAATATCAGTCCAGACTGCCCTGCCGGCGCACACCGGCGGACACGACAGATGCGCCCAGCGGCACCGACCAACGGCCAGCAACGGGGGACACTGCAGATGGTGGGGATCGGGGATAGGTGTTTATATAATATTGGTCGATTCACGTTAGCCGCGCGCGGGTAAATTGATATTTTAAGAAAGAGAAATATAAATGGTTTATGACATGGGGACAATATTAATATGGTGTCTAAATTCTGTGACCTTACAACCTCTACCTTTTAGAATATAGTAAAGAATCGTGTTAACAAAAGTTTTCCCTGATCCACCAGGTCCATCCATGTAAAAAAATGTACTGGGATATTTAGATCTATCTTCAGCTAAACAATCTCTATAATTTTATGAGCAATATTCTTTTGCTTGTGTTTAACTGCATATAATGAACTTGTCCAATTTCTTGGTAATGTTGAAGGGGTATTTTGTCCATATTTGGATAATAATCACTCATTTTGTATTTGTCAGGCTCAGGAGTTGAGGCTTATTTAAATAAAAAAAAAAATCTCATTTTTGTAGTCAGCCAATTATGGCATACCGGGAAAGTCGCTGATTTCACGCCTGTTGAACAATCCAACGACGAGTGTCCGCCGTTCAAGGTCGCCTTGTCGCCGTCGTGTCTATAACGAGATAACAACGGTCGGCGGCGGTGTTACGCAATCCACGTTATCGGCCTCCTACGGTCGGTGATATGCAAATATCGTTGTTATTTATTTATGAAACGGGACAAGCCCAATACAAATGTTGAAATTAATCTTAAAACTAAAGTATGTACAGTAAAAATATAAGAAATTAAATTAACAGGTAATAACATTACCTTAGGACTGGTTTAGTCCCCCAATAGAAACGAAGAATCCTCGTTCGCTAGTCGCATCATGCGTGACATAGTACAGTTTCGCAAATAATTCACAGAACAAAAGGGAAATATGGAATGGAAAACACTACGAGATTAAAAACTGGGATTCTAAAACACGCAGTAAAGTAACACAGAGGAGCTCTTATAGAGTAAAGAAATAACCTGAGGAGTCCGTCAGGGCCGACTGATTTTATATTCCGTAGCTTCTAAGGACGTATTAAGACATCGTCTAGGCTCACAAGACAAGTAGATGGGAGCTCATGAGGTAGTCCATTCTCTACGAGATCATCTAAATTGATTGCTGTTGAAGAGTACACGGAACTAAAGTGAGAGGAGAACATCTCGCACATACTGACTCTATCGTTACTAAAAGCATTACCAAGCTTAACTGTTGCGGGTATTGTGTTTCCACTTTTGGTTTTACGAACAAAATCCCAAAATGCCTTTGGGTTTTTCAGAAATGAGGACTCAGTGTTTTCGATATACTTGGAGTGACATTTCCTAGATAAAAAATTGCATTGAGCACGTAAATTTGAGAAACGAGAGTAATCAATTGAATTTGCGTTGATCTGTAAAGAGCATGAGCCTTTCTTCTTAATTGCACAGTATTCTTTAGCTGGTTAGAAAACCATATCGGAAATTAGATTTTTTTGTAGTTAACTTGTGGAACAAAGTTTAGGACACAATAATGAAGGGCATCGTATAGTGTAGATGCCGCATCATTAGCAGATAGGGGTGAAAGTGTATCAGTCCAATTAAATGACTTCAGGAACTCATTAATTCGAATGAAATCGGATTTATTAAAATTAAAGAAAACATGAGAAGAAGGATCGGAACCATCAAGAAGAACTGAAGCAGCAGATTCGAAGACAAGAGTTGAATGATAATGGTCTTCAGGTACAACATGTTCATCAGCCTTCTTTACAACTTGTCACCTTTGTTGCTAAATACTAGATCTAAGATGGTTTTATAACGATTTGGAACATTATTTAATTGGTAGAAGTTGAGAAAAGAAAAACATTCGGGGACGCAGGGAACACGGATGTGTGATGATGTAGAGTAAGTAACCCCATACGTATCATTAGACCAGGTAATATTGGGAAGATTGAAGTCGCCACAAATTATAAATATACATCCAGTATTGTGACTTACCACATTTTCGACTTCGGTTGTAAACAATTCATAGGAGGTAACAGGTGAGTTAGGAGGAAAGTAGACGCAGCATAAAATGTAAACGGTATTTAAGAAGTTAACCTTGACGAAGACGTGTTCAACACCAAAGGAATGTATAGGGAGAGTATGCGCAGGAAAATCATAACAGACACCAACGAGGACCCCCACCACCTCTTTTGTGGGCACTAGTTTATCATATAAAGGTTATCATATTGTCAGTTTGCCACCATCCGTGGTTGGTACCATGGTCATTATGCGTGCGTCCAGTTCTCCGCTGTCAAATGTTTTATATTGCGACATTGCGTACATAAAGGTCGGTGATCAGTGTTTCGTTGCACCCCATGTCAATGGTGTTGTGGAGCTAACCGTATTTCCCTGCACTCATAATATACACGTTGCCGCGTTGACAACACGAAAAACCCACTGCGTATTAGTTATAATAGCGAGTCACTCCGTTTCGTTAACTTTTCATTGCCGCCGTGTCGTCAGTACACCCAGCAAAGATAACGCTATTATTACACCCATCGATTTATAGTACAGTGTGCCGAATCGTGTCGAATCGTCGGTACGCCCAGCACCGTGCACACAGTGTATACGCAACGAGCGTACTCCACTGTGTCGTTCTCCTGCAAGGTACTGGTTGTTGTCAGCGATGCCATATCGGTACGATTGTTGACGACGAGTCTACACGGCGCTCGCATGTGTCAGTTGCCGCCTTATCCACGCCGGGAGATCATACCGCCAGCGGTTTCACGGATCAACATACTGCATATCCGTCATACCCCAGGGCCACGTAACGTACCCATTTAATGTATTTTTTACATATATATATATATATATAGTAACAGCAACTGCAATTGTCACTTAAATTAAATTAAGCTCCCCTGCCAATGCTTTTGTTATTATTTATAAGGTGCTTGATTAAAAATGAATTCTAAATATTTACTGTTGTCCATCATCTTAGTAATTTTTTCCGTCAATTCTCCATTCCAATTTCGTCCTCACAAATATCGGAGTAGCAGAAAACCGTTACCGTCTACTTCGGACCCAAACAACGCCTATTGTAAGACAGTAAATTGTTTATTTCATGGTAAGCTTTACTATGGTAATTTGAAAGAGAATGATTTCGTTGAAAATGTTGTGATAGAGGATCTTTAAAATTTTCCCATAGCTCTCCCGGACTATTTTTGTAACAATGTATTAAAATACTTGCAAATAAACATCTTAATTTCCGTGGCACATCCATATTTCACCATCGTACGTTCCCATTATCCATCGTTGTCATTATGGCCTAGTTCTAAACATGCTCCATGAAATGTATCGCAGATTTTATTGTCGACTGTCCTTAAAACTTCAAAACTCGTAGCTTCTTTAAGCGTCAAACTCCTCACTCAAATTGAAATTAAACTTATCGTTTGCCATTGAAATCAATTACAATTTGTAATATTACAATTGTATTTGAATTTAATTAGACTTCAAATTATCGCTTTAATAAAATAAATCATGGGGACTCTTTCCGTTGTCAAGCATTTTGTTATTTTACCTTTGTCAAGCATAATATATAGACAAACGTCGTCGCGATTTACTTTATTGAAGCGATAATTTGTCTATTAATAAGTCTAATTGTAATTGTAATTGTAATTGTAGTAATTGTATTTGAATTTAATTAGACTTCAAATTATCGCTTCAATAAAATAAATCGCGATGACGTTTGTTCATATATGCTTGACAACGATAAAATAATAATATAATGCTTGACAACGGAAAGAGCCCAAGTGAAAGAAAGTGTACTTTTTAGTAAATGACTTAAAATGGTTGACATAAAATAGATTCAATATAATAATAAACAATTCAATTGTAGAGCACACAATTAAATGTTATACTAGGACATGTCAGAATCCGATGTCCACTTATACGTAATGAAAAGTTTAACAATATAAAAAAATAAGAGTATATAGTAGATAAAGTTAGTTTTTTACACTATAAAAATGAAAAAAAATAAGTGGTTTTGATCTTCCTGGTCATATGATTTGTGGTCATTACTAAGAATACATTTTATTGACTATGGAAAATATATTGATTGAAAGTGCTTTTTAAGACCTTTGGGCTCCAAACCCCATTTCTAAGCCACCATTAATCTCTCTAATTATTATAATGGCATAATATTTATTTATACTACAATCACCAACTTGGAACATGATGATGCAGCTTGTCGTCTTTCGAGTTTTCTTTCACACACAATTCCAGATCCTGAAACAATTAATTCTTATGCATTAAATGTGTATGCAATGTTCAGTGGTTTAAGATTATTATTTATTGTTTTAATTAGCAGTTACAGACTGCAGTTTGAATTCGATAGTAATATAGTATCATAATATTATTATTTTTTATATTATAAACGTATAAATCATGCATATATGTGTAATAAAATGTGGCATCATTTCAGTAATATAAAAACAAAAAAAGCTTTTCGTCGGCGGCCAGTGCGTTCTCTCGTTGAAGGTTGAACACAGTATAGCCTATAGGTAATAGAGGGGGTGGGAAGCAAAAGTTTTGACCAGTCAATATAATGTAACAAGGAAATCACTCTCAAGCTACTTTTCACTTACAATGATTGCCTGAATTTAACATTATGAGTGCCGGACCAAAAATTTGAAAACTGACCGGGACATTTTTTTTTGAAATATTTCTCTATAACACCAATTATATAAGCTTTAACAGTAAGTTCTAAGTCCGTTTATCTATTTTGAAACATAAGGACAAAATGAACAACATAGTGTTTCTGGAAATATTCTACTTCCCCAGACTTCTTATCTCTATATATAAAAATGGATCCCTGTTTTCCTTGGTCATCGCATCAAGCGTGAACGGCTGGACAGAGTTTGCTAATTATTTTTTTGTTGTGTTCGTAATTATCAGGTGAAGGTTCTTATGTAATAGAATTTTAGGAAAATCCACAGGGAAGGTAGGAAATCTTTATGTAATAAAATACTACAGTGACGCAATCTGTCCAAGAAGAAAATAAACTAAATAATAATATATTTTTGTTTATTGTAAGGTTGCTATTTGTTATGATATATTTGTTATAGTTTTAGTTGTTAATTTTGAGGAATATTTGTTCTATTGGTTTATAATGCCCATAAAGAGGAAATCAAACCTTGGCAGCTCCATAAATGGTGCCAAGAGGATGCGCTTATCTATAGGAACAATATAGTTGAAAATGAAATTAATAACATGTCCGCCTTCAATTATAATAAATCGATTGATTAAAGATTAAAGATTAAAAATTAATGTGTGTGTCCTTTAAGCATTCCTAAATGGCTTGACCGATTGTGATAAAATATGGTAGAGAGATAGATTAGACCTCTGGGAAGACGACAGGCTAATTTAAAATGGGTAAATTCCAACACAGGGAGGTGCTCAAACAGGGATTATGAAATTAACGATGGACATTTTTGTTTGTAAATGATTGCTATTGGTTTTAATAAAAAAATGTTATCAAAGCAATAAGCATGTTGGTGCAGTGGAACTTCTATTCTATGCATTTTCGTACAGACAGCCTCAAATTCAAATCAAGGTTTCAGAGGACCAATTTGTATTTTCATCCTTTATCTATACATAAGAATGTTTAGTTTTTTTTATTCATTGAATTTTAGTACGGTTAGGTTAGGTTAGGATTTTGTATTAATTTATTATATTAATCCGTTGAATAATATTATTCAATCATAACAAAATAACTGAAATAGTTATTCTAGGTTTTTTAATATGTAATTTCGTCCAAATTTGAATTTAAAATGTCTGTAAAAAATAACTGTGTTCATATATTTTTTAGATTTTTTGGTTACAGTATGAACTATTTATGAGAACCTTTGTTTTAAATTTGCAATCCTTAGCTATAAAAACTGAACATTTTATAATTTATTAACTACAGTGATTGATAATTTTTGAGATTTTGATAAATTTTGTCAAAATTCGATCTTTAAATGCTTATAAAAATAAACTGTGATTATGTATTTTTTAGAGTTTTTGTAACAGAATTAACTACTTACGTGGAATCTTGTTTTAAATTTTCAATCCTTAGATATAAAAGTTGAACATTTTTTAAATTTTTAACTACAAAATAATTATTCGATTTTAAATTTGATACATTTTGTCAAAATTCGATCTTTAGATGCGTATAAAAAAAAATTGTGCCTATGTATGTTTAATATTTTTCAACTGATATTGTAACAATATATCAGGAGCCTTGTATTAATTTTTTACACTTTGTAGCCCAACAAATAAAACTTAATTTATTTTTATAGGAAAAAAAACTAAAATAATTTAAAACTGTTAATGTCCGTAAATAGCTCAAAAAGAGTCAAAATATTTTTATAATTGTATGATGTATAGGAAATGCTAATATAAACATTCAGTGAAATTTTCATGTATCTACAGTTATTCGTTTTTGAATTACAACAAAATAAGGAAATCGCTGCATGAGAAATCGAGTGAATATCCAATATTGTAAAAATTTGAATTTCAAACGCTCATAAATATTTAATTTGACTTTCTTATAGACATTTTTTTTTTAATAAAGGTAGATAATCTTATATGGAATCCTGTATTACATTTTAAAAACCTTAGTTTTAAAAAAAAATTTAACGAATTTGTAGGAGTATCTTGTTCTTAGGAACTTTAATACTCTACAATTAGTAATTAGTACAATTATGTTTTAGTAAGAACTATATTTTTATTAAGTAACAAATTTTAATAAATCTCTTTCAGATCACATGCTTGCTCTTTTTGTAACAATTAAATAATTAACCTAACCTAAGTTATTAACAAATAATAATAATCAGTCTGACCATCTGCACCACATACTCCCCCTTCAGTGAAGGGTCAGTTTCTGAACCTCACTGGTAGTTTGACTGGGCGGCCACTGCGAGTTGTTCTCCGGTCGGGTGGTGCATCCGTTCTCTCCTCTGTCTCTCCCCGGGGAGACTGGTCCCGGCTTGGTCCCAGCCGGACCGGTAATGTCTGCGACATGTGGCCTTAGTTAAGGGGTTGTTGGGTCGGTGCTTCAATATATGCTGGTTTGACTCTATCCATTGACACTTTCTTCTCCTTATTTCTGATTAGTAACGTCATGGTTTTGCTCGTTCTATCCAAAACCTTAAATGGCCCATCATATGGTCTCTCTAACGGTTTTTTCACATGGTCTTTCCTTAGGAAAACATAATTTGCATTGTTCAGATCCTTGTACACAAATATGTTTTTTTTTCCGTGGGCAGATGTTGATGTTGGCCTTAGTTGATCGAACCAAAAACGCAGTTTGGCAGCATACGTTCCTTGGTCTTCGTGGACGTTACCAGGTGTAATAAACTCCCCTGGTAACCTTAACGTGCAACCATATACCAACTCTGCTGATGTAGTGTTTATGTCCTCCTTCATGCTGTTGCGCATACCAAATAGCACACTTGGTATAATGTCGACCCAATTTTGTGAATTGTAACACTTGATTGCTGCTTTAAGTTGCCTATGCAGTCGCTCCACCAAACCATTTGCTTGAGGATGGTATGCTGTTGTTCTGACCCGTTTTATACCTAGAAGTTTAATAGTGTTATTGAAAGTCAATGATTCAAATTGGGTCTGTAGTAATAACTTCTGGCACTCCAAAACGTGTTATCCACCCGATATATAATGCTTTTGCTACCGTTTCAGCCGCTATGTCCTGAATAGGTAGCACTTCAGGCCAACGTGTGTACCGGTCTACACAAGTTAAACAATAACGGTATCCTTGGCATGATGGTAGCGGTCCGACTAAATCAATATGTATGTTTCTGAAACGCTCTGCAGGTACTGTGAAACTTGCTGGTGCTGAAACGACATGTCTTGAAACTTTTGATGCTTGACAAGGAATGCAGTTCTTAACCCAAAATGCGACATCCTTGTTTACACTTGCCCAGACAAATTTGGCTTTTATTAACTTAGTTGTTGCTTTGACTCCAGGGTGAGATAGCCCGTGTATTATGTTAAATACTAGTTTGCGGTGTGTAACAGGAATGTATGGTCGTACTACACCTGTTGAAGTGTCACATACTAGTGAAACCTTGGACTCAGGAAGCTCTATTTTACCTAATTTCAGACTAGTAGATCCATCGAGTAAGTTTTTAAGTTCTTGATCCTCTTCTTGAGCATTTGATATCTCTTCATAGTTTAACTTATTCACATTTACTTGTTCAATTCTTGACATTAGATCAGCAGTTACATTTTGTTTACCAGGAATGTGTTTTATTTCAGTGGTAAACTGCCCAATATAATCCAGATGCCTAAACTGTCTTGGAGAGCACTTGTCTAATCTTTGGTTAAACGCATATGTCAGGGGCTTATGGTCTGTCCAAACTATAAAATGTCTCCCTTGTAACATATGTTTAAATTGCTTGATCGTGAGGTATATAGCGAGTAGTTCTCTATCATAAGTGCTATACTTTTGCTGTGTGGTACTTAACTTCTTTGAAAAAAATGCCAATGGTCTCCAATTTTGGTTTTCTTCTTCTTGTTGTTCCAAGACACCTCCGACAGCAAAATCTGATGCGTCAACTTTAACTGCTAACGGTGCTGAACTCCTTGGATGCGCTAGTAACACTGCATTTGCTAAAGATGCTTTGCACGCTTGAAAAGCACTCTCAGTAGCTTCGTTCCATTTAATTTCTGTCTTGTCATTTTTCTTATTTCCTTTTTGGTATGTCAACAAAGGTATTTGGTTTTCAGCAGCATTTGGCAAAAAATGTCTATAAAAATTAATCATACCTAAAAACTTTCTTAACTCTTTGACTGTATGTGGTTTTTTGTAGTCAAGGATAGCTTGGACTTTTTGTGGTAGTGGTTTGGTACCTGTGCTACCTATACTATATCCCAAAAAGTCAATCTGTTCAACTCCAAAAATACATTTGTTTACATTTAACAACAATCCAAATCGGTCAAGGCGTTCAAACACTGTTCTGAGGTGGTCCTCATGTTGTAGTTTACTTTCAGAAGCTACCAGTACATCGTCCATGTATGGGAAACAGTATTCTAATCCCTCGAGTACTTTGTGCATGAACCGTTGGAATGTTTGACCTGCGTTACGTAAACCGAATGGCATACGAACAAATTCGAATAAACCAAATGGTGTACTTACAGCTGTTTTGGGAATGTCATCTTCAGCTACAGGTATCTGATGATATGCTTTCTTGAGGTCGATTTTAGAAAAACAGTTTTTCCCTTGTAATATGTATGAAACATCATGAATGTGTGGTACCGGATAATTATCTGCAACTGTCTTGTTATTGAGTGCTCGGTAATCACCGCATGGTCGCCAGCCGCCATCAGCTTTTCCAACCAAATGTAGCGGGCTTGCCCAAGAGCTACTTGATGGTCGACAAATTCCCAACTCCACCATACTTTTGAATTCTCTTTTAGCAATCTCCAAACGGTCCGGTGGTAAACGCCGCGGTTTTGCGCTACACGGTGTTCCAGACGTTGTAATGTAGTGAACTACATCGTGACTTACGGCTATTGACCTGGAAAAAGGTTTGGTAATTAGTGGAAATTCTGAAAATATACTCGCATATGGATGGCTTTCTTGTATTGTTTTGATTGTGATGCTCGAGCATTAAATTGTTGAACACCGTCTTGTTAACTTAGTTAAGTTATCAATAAGTCTATTGTTGTTCAAATCAACGAGTAACCCGAAATGCTTCAGTAAGTCTGCACCTATTATTGGTTTTGTTACGTCTGCAATAACAAATGGCCAGCAGTACGGTCGACGTAAACCAAGGTTTAAAGTTATTGTCTTCATGCCGTATGTATTAATGGCTGTACCATTTGCTGCGTATAATTGTAATGTATTTGATTTTTGTTGTTTGTCTGTGTTTGACGGTGGTACCACTGAGATGTCTGCTCCACTGTCGACAAGGTACTTAGGTTTGCTGGTGACATCAGTTACAAATAAGCGGTTTGTTGTGCTTGCACAACCAGTCGCCGCTTCAACTGGTCTGCTTTCTAGTTTTTTGTGTTGCGGAGGCTTGAGTGCATCCTGCACCACGAACCTTTACAGATTTTTGCTTGATCCTTAAACTTGGAATGGTAATAACAAAGCTCATCTCTCATCTCATTTTTGTCACGAGACTTGGACCTTGTTCTTCTGTATTGCTTGTCGTCCCTCCTGTCATTGCTACGGCCCCGTTGGCTCAGCTCTTCAATCGCTTTGGTAAGTGAAATGATTTGCAGTTCCAGAGCTGAGTGCACGTTATTGGTTTGACATTTGCATTGTTTCTCCGTGTTCACAGTTGCTACAGTACTTATTTCACTTACTTCATGGATTTTATCAGCCATTTTTGACAAATTAGATAGCGAATCTGTGCTGGTTGTGAGTACAGCTTGCACTTGTACAGGTAGGCGCTGTAACCACAGATTTTTCAGCATATCGTCGGCTAACTGGTCACCTGCTAACTGCTGCATCTCACGAAGCAAATATGACGGTTTTTTATCACCTAGTTCTAAATCACGCAATAACTTTTTAAGCTTTTTCTCCTCCGACTCGGATAAACGCTCGGCGAGTACCTGCTTTAGTTTTAAGTACTTATTGCTTACCGGTGGTTTTTCGAGAATATCCGATACGTACGTTAGGATGTCTCCGTCTAACGCGCCAACAACGTAATGCAACTTCGTCTCGTCGTCAGTGATATTTGCCGTGACAAAACGGGACTCGAGTTGAATGAACCACATTTTTGGATTCTGTACCCAAAATGGTGGTGCCTTGAAATGGTGGATAAAAGTTGGCTGTTGGACTTGTTGTGTTTGTTGATTGTCGCCGGGCATGTTTTCCGTTTTTTAAACACAAAATATATCGTTCGAGGTCGAGGTCACCACTTTGTAGGAGTATCTTGTTCTTAGGAACTTTAATACTCTACAATTAGTAATTAGTACAATTATGTTTTAGTAAGAACTATATTTTTATTAAGTAACAAATTTTAATAAATCTCTTTCAGATCACATGCTTGCTCTTTTTGTAACAATTAAATAATTAACCTAACCTAAGTTATTAACAAATAATAATAATCAGTCTGACCATCTGCACCACAAATTCTTAACTCAAAATAATTTTGCTAATTTTTGTGATTTTTCCATATTATGTCAATTTTTGAACTTTAAATGCTTATAATAAAAAACTGTAACTACGGATTTTTTATATATGTATTTCATCTGCCTCTGAAATAACATACAAGGAGAGTTCTATTGCATTTTCAAGCTTTTTAATCAACAAATAAAATTTTATCGATATTTTTAGAAAAAAAAATAAAAAAAATTGGAAAATGAAAATGTTTCTTTACAGTTCAAAACAAATCATTATATTTTGAAAATATTATCGTGTATAGAAAATGCAAATATAAAAACCAGTGAAAATTTGATGTATATACATTCTTTTATTTTAGAGTTACATCAAAAACCAAAATCGATTTTGTGGACATTTTTTTTATGTCTGTTGATCAATTATTTTGAAAAAAAGATATGTCTGGTTGTTGCCCTCAGGTCTTCAAATACACTATTGTATCTACGGTTGTAGAATACCAAAATTATTTCATTATTATTTCCGAAAATAATAACAATTTGTACGTTTATAAGTTATTCAGAGTACTTACTTATACCTAAGTATGGTTAATTGCCATATAATCGTTACCTATATAATATGCCAGCAGCAGGGCCGTCGTTAAGGGTAGGCAGTGCTGGCATTTGCCTAGGGCCTCGCGCTTGTAGGGGCCTCACAATTCGCACTTAAATTTGATACCAAAATATTGTTCAAAATTATTAAATTTTTTAGTTTTGTATTGATATTATTTGATTACAAGGTATACAATGTACATTTGTATTGTGTATGGTGACAAATATTATGCTGTTGAGTTTTAATTTATATTGGGTATTGTAGTTTAGTTTAAATTGAGTGCAATACCGCCAGTACCTAAACATTATTTTTAGTATATTATTGTCATTGTAGACGTCTTGTAGCCCATACTCTTACCAGTGGCACGTCAAAAATCAAGATAATGTAATTATCGCTATTAATGACTAACCAATACGGGTATACGCCGTGCTGTACGCTCGTCGCTCGTGGATATTAATAGCTATTAGCTTTATGTATATACTATATATTATATTATATACATATATTTATATTTGATTATTATAGTATAAATAGTATAATATAATATTGTCAATAGAATTCGACGAGTTGTTTCACATTTCTATTTCGTCAGTCGCGGCACATGGATCCGGACTCATTATGTAATATTATTATTTATACAACCGACGACGTTATTTAATATAGGTAGTTAAGCAACGTTTAGTTATTAAAAAAATTAATTTTATCATAATATAAGTACTAAGGTACCTTATGTATTGAGGAAAAAATGAAAAATAGGAAT